ATCAACCTTTCATACCAGTGTAATTTCTCAGAACTGTCGATTAGTTAATTCTGGAGTCTCCGGTTAACGGACATCAAATCACATTTGTACGTAAGTTAAGTCTGTTCTGTGTACAAACTTAATTTCTTTGGACTGTATGCAATTGGTGGAGAATTATTCTACGTGAAGCATTGTTTTTGTTTTATTCAAATCCAACAAAACTTTATTCTCTTGGGGAAAATCTCTCAACTCGAAAATTTTAAAATAATTAATAATTAATGAAATGTGACACATAGACACTGAAATCTCTGTTGAAGACATCTAAAACGATAGAACTCAGCGGTCGAATGAAGAACAAGATGTAGATTTTTTTTATTCCTTTACGTTGGCAGTGGAACAAAAGGCTTCAGGCTAGAGGCTTGGAGTTTCTGTAGCAGTGTTAATTTTTGCAAGATAGGGTTGCTAGCCTCATGCCCAACCTTTCCTCTTTACCAGTCGTATTACTGGCTTAGCGAGGTAAAGGAGTGCGTCTGTAACCGGGAATCGAACCCCGGACCATCTGCGTGGTTGGCGAACATTCTGCCGCTGTGCCACCGACGCACACAAAATGTAGATAAATCACAATATTTAATCTCTTTCTTAGCTAATTTGGTAAATCCATTAGTAGGACACCTTCTGTACCAAAGAAAACTATCTTTATTAGAGTATCATTCAAAGGTGATGAAGTCATGCAATTGACAGCTTAGAGGTTTCAGTCAGATATCAGGCGTACACTCTACGCCGTATCTCTTTCCCATACGTTTCGAATACCTTCAATTCCTATGGCTAGGGCTAAAAAAAGAAACTGTATGGACTCTACTTTTACACTGTATCTACACGTTGACACACACACACATAGTTAGGACCAACAGGGTGTTCCAATGTCGTCGGAAAGAGCATGCTCATAAATGCTTAATAAATCACATAAAAAACCCAAATGTACCTAATATGAATAGAAGTTCAGCATAATCCATTGCAAAACATTTACTGTCTGATTACACAATCAGTATTAGTGACTGTTTCTCAATTAAAAAAACAACTTTGACTCAAGGTTATTAAAGGTGATGAAAACACTTTGGATTAATCACGTGCATCCCTATAACTATGTGTACAGAAAACCGTAGCCTACCATGGATTGCCTGACGTACTAAAATACAATTAGTTATTAGCATGGAGTTTTGCTTTATATAATTGTCAGACATTTCATTTTACTATTATGAACCATGCTAGTTGTAAAACGATAGTAAAGAAACGTTTACATGTCTTATGTGAGAACTTGTCTCTTGATTTAATTTCTAAATTGCCCTTCTATAGGAGGTACGTAGATGATATCATTTTGATATGGGATGATCATGAAGATGCGAGTCGTCTATTAGATAGACTTAACTGTGTACAGAATCATATTAGTCTTACATGCGAGGAAGAAAGTCGCAACCAGCTTGCATTTTTAGACATACTTCTGAGTCGAAGAGACGACGGTTCAATAAGACGATCTAATCTACAGATAACCCACTTGGACAGGGCAGTACCTTAATTTCCACAGTTTCTGTCCATTACAGTATGAGAGAGGCTTGGTGACATGTCTATTTAAGAGGATTCAGTGTATTTGCACGGCTGATGCCATAGACAAAGAAAACGAAATATTGATGGATACTCTTGTTGAAAACGGATATCGTTTAAAATTTTTAAACAGGTGTAAAAGTCAGTTAGTCTCTAAACCGCCCCTAAGGAAAATGTTTTCATCAAATTACCATATAACGAGGAAATAAACAGTAAGATTTTGAAACAAATGTTGAATTCGATCATCCGTAGAACCTATTATGCACGCCAGCTTGTAATTGTCGAAAAAGCTAAACATATGCTCCACTGCAAACCTCAAAAGTGCACAAGTGATTATATCACATCCCATACAATTTACCAATTTTCGTGTGTGTGTGGACATACATACATAGGGAGGAGTAATCGCGCTTTGCACGTGAGGGTGGGAGAGCACATCCCAAAATGGTTAGAAAAACAGATGAATTGTGACAAGCTAATAGATGCAAGTGTCAGACTACCAACTTCGTCTATAGCTAAACATCTAATCGAGATGAACCATAAGATTGATTTTAACTCAGCCTTTAAGGTCATCTATAAAAACGGTCAAGGGTGCTTATTGAAATATGCTGGGGCTATAGCTATTCATAGACTTAAGCCCCCCCCCTGTGTATTCAAAAGCAGTTTATTATTACTCCTAACCTACCTTGGTAATTCTTATTTGATTGGATTACCAAACGTTGTGTTAATCATTCTTAAATCCTTTTTTGTCACTTTGTTTAATTTAATTGCCTTTAGTTTCTTCATATATATATTGACTTGACAAGTAAATGTGTGATCAGATTGTTCGAAATGTATAGCGCAAATACGTCACATTTTTTCAGATAATCTCCGTCTTCCAACAACGCTAACCAAATTTATAAAAGGGACTAATTATTTTAAAGTAAAGAAACTACAAAAAAATGATATCATCTCGCAATATTTGTCTTCTTAATACCTTATCCTAATAAAAATCTGTTGTTATTCATTTGTTGTTACAGTGAATCATGTGGCATATTAGTGCAGGAAACACAGAATATGCCAATTTCTTCTGAAATACGCTTCTTCCTTTTAGTCTACAATAATGTATAATATAAGCATCATAAAAAAGCGCTTCTGAAAAATTATTAGCAGTCGATCAATTTAGAAGGCTTGAGAAATCTGTAGCATGCATACCTCTAGTAATGGAAAAATCGTATCCTGAGAACAAATTACTAAGGGTAACCAAATTATCTATCTTTAATAACTGCTGTTAATTGTCAATCTTGGAAAATTATCTATCATCTTTTTGCTCATTACACAACCATGTAACAGAGCGCCATGTTTTCGAGTAAATTATTTACTATTTTGATTGACTAATTCCTCACTGTATTGACTTTTTATAGTGTCCACACAGTGTCTTGAATTTATTTCTCTCACCGAAGTGAAACATGTCAAAGATAAAAAAATATCTTTTTCCCTGTATCTCCCATTGTCTAGGTAGTGCAAAAGATGCCATTGACGTTTGTGCACACTTTCAATTGAATTCATGCATCCATAGAAAACTAGCATTGAGGTGAGAGCTGGCTGCAAGTCAAAATTGTGGACAACAATTTAATTCAGTGTTTGTGTACCGAACCAAAGTTATGAGAAAAAACAATAACAAAGCTTAACCCTAGAGGAACTCACCAACCAATCACAGCAGACATAAAGTGTGCAAATACGAATCGCATATATATGGCTAAACTTTCGGAGAAACGGTCACAAGTAGTTACAGAATAACCTTCAGCAAAAAAACAACCAATCAGAAGGCGTTGCTTCTCCGCTGACAATAACGTGCATGAAAATCTATAAATATTTACGTGCAGAAGCTGCCTTGGAGTATGAAGACTTACGGACTATAAATACGTGACTCAGTCCCTCCGTAGCTGCACAACAGCTTAACCTTTCGAATACAGATTGTTCGTACTCTATTTCAACAAATAAAGGACGTCATGATTCCCGAAATTACTGAAGCCACAGACTACCTGGGTGAAGTCATTCGATAACAAGACTAAGAGCCATGACAACAATCAACCTTTGATCAATTGATTGTGGCTAGAAAAGAGTCACACTTTTCCTCCCCGACTAAACATGAGCTAAAGAGGAATATGTGTAATAAGTATGGTCGCCATCCTGATTCTGAGGTGACATTTGTGATCAAAAACACCCACCGTCCTCTCTTCCTTCCATTTTTTGTGTTATTCAAACCCTAGAGAAAGCAGTACTTCTAGTGTACAATAAATTTAACCTTATTAAGAGCCCAGCTAAGTCATAAAATCATAGATTCACACACCATGAGAAAGTAATCCGATAGGAAGGAAACATACACATAAACTTATGGACCAACTGAGATTATTACCGTTCATCTTTTTGTAAAATTTATCTCTCAAAGCCTTTATCACAACTGTAAAGCTACAACGACGATGACTTAAGACATTGTATATTAAAGGTGACACTAACCGACGCAATAATCTTAATCAATTCCTCTAATATCTCCTCTTCACACTACAAACACATTTGAACAACCTTAGAGACAGTTAATTCACCACACTTTCTTTAAAGCTCAGAACGTTTTTTTTATTTACCAGGATGGATGTGCCACACTCATTGTATGAGGTGACAGTGTGTGTGATAAGAGCTGTCTGCAAGCTAAAGTTGTGGACAACAATTTAAGTCAGTGTTTGTGTACCGAATCGCAGTCATGAGAAAAAACAATAGCAAAGCCTAGCCTGGAGGAGCTCACCAACCAATCACAGTAGACTTAATGTGTGCAAATACGATTCGCAGATTTATGGCTTATACTTCTAAGAAATGGCCACAAGCAGTACAGAATGACATTCAGCAAGAAAACAATCAATCAGAAGGCGTTGCTTCTCCTCTGCTGACAATAATGTACATAAAAATCTATAAAAATATCTGTTGTTTTTCCCAATAAAGGATCTATTGCCTGGCCCTTGTCTTCTGTTGTGGTGGTGTGATATAGACAAGGTGTTCCACAGGAATATTATTATCACATATTCCCACATTTCACTACTGTATTAGCAACAGAATACTATGTATGTATTTGAGCATTCTATTTTACGTCGTTTGATGTAAGCTAAAATCACACGCTCGATGATTGGTTAGAGAGCATAAAACTGTATCTATATAAATAGCGGTTTGATCACATGAAAATATATCTTGTCTTCCGTTACCGTTACAGTACTATCCAGTTACTCAAACTTAAGTAGGTGGAGAGGGACTCGAACTTGTGACCTATTGGCTGAAAATCAAGTGTTTACAGTTCAGTGAGCCACACATCTCAGGTAGTTTTGCTAAGTAAAAAAGGACAAAAATCAACCTTCTTTTTGATTATCCTAATGTAGAAAGAAAAAGCCTAGAGAAAAGATACACACACACTCACTGGCATGTCAAGACGAAGAAGAACAAAAGATATTCATGATTAACTTTCTCTCTTATGTACATTTAAAAAAAAAAGAAGGAAAAGTTAAAATTATAGACAAGGTATTCTGACCATAAGCGCCTATATACATTACACAGGTAGGCAGGGCATGCAGGCATGCAACATAGAAGTCATACAAAACAAACAATCAAAATTTTAATATTAAGCAAAAGTCACATAGAAAGAAAAAAACAAAGAGAGGTAAGAAAGAAAGAAAAAGACAATTAGGATTCTTTTTTAAAAGCAGTATGTTAACATATCTATACTAAATAATAGCATTAATCATAATAATAATATTAATAATAATATTAATAATGTTGGTCAAATCAAACCATGACGTTTTTTGTATTCTTGTAAGTTTAACAGCCGACGATTTGGTTTTCCCGATGGACCATTCATTATTGGTGTCTGCGGACTGCCATTTATAAAATCATGATTATTAGAAGAATTAGCAGTACCACGTGGTCTTGGACTAGTAGAATGTCGAACATCAGCATTAGTTGAAGCTGTTGTCCTGCTACTAGAATTCGGTTGATCAGCATTACTGTCTAAATCCAAGTCAATATTAATTTCAAAATTATGTATTGCATGCAGAGAATCGTGTGGTGTAGATAAATTGCTGTTATCATCTCCCACTGACCAACAAACAGAATCCGGTGCTTCAGTTAATACACTACTACTTCCCACTGGTGTGTTTAACAATGAAGATTTAGATGAAAGGCTTAAATCTGATTTTGGAGTTGGTGGAAGCGGTGGAATACTTTGATTTAAATCACACGAAGTTCTAGAGGAATCAGGTTGTGAAACACCGAGCTGTAATTAAAATATAATATTAAAATTAGGAGAATAATTGATACAAATATAAATAATATTTTAAAAGTGTCACTTTAAAATACGTAAGTGTATGGCGTCAGGTCAAAGATGAGTTGATAAATAAAATGTGAACTATGTTATTGGTGATCTTAAAAACTGTAGACTTCTATGAGTTCTTATTTTATTCCTATACGCTCCAAGTGGAATATAGGGCTTCAAACTTGAGCTTTGAAGTTCTAGTAGCAGTGGTGTTTATTTTTTACAGGATGTGATTGCTAGTTTCATGCCTAGCCTTTCTCTCTTTACTGAGCTTACGGCTACCTAAGCGAGGTTTAGTAGTGCCTCCGCTGGAAATCGAACCCCGGGCCACGTGTCTAGTTGACGCGTTCTACCATTGAACCACCCAACGCACAAGCTTCAAGGCATAGTAAACTAAAGCTACTGAAAACGTTACATAAGTAACCAAACATAGTGATTAGAGAGCATTGATGGATGATGATTTCCTGGGGATTGTAGGCAATTATGAGCTTACATGATTCAATTTGTGAAATTAAGCAGTTAAGTCCGATTCTCTAGTGAATCAATTAGTAAAAAAAAGCCTATTTTCAACCGTTGGTTTGTAAGGATTAGATTTATTTTGATGAATTGATCACGGATTGACATCAGTTAGAGGCCCATTGAAAACCAGGGAGTACTGGACAGCAGTTTCATCTTAGTTTGGGAATCATCATCAGTACGCACCAACCACCACACTGGGTTTCGAATCCAGGACCTTCCGGCTACAAGGCTAGCGAGTTCGTATGCCATTCAGCTACCGGTGTAACAACAGAAGACAAGGGCTGGCAACAGATCGTTTTATTACGAAAATCAACACGTATTTATATATATATTTTATGTGCATTAATAAGGCTTATGCAAGCAGAAAAAGGCAGTCTTCTGATTGGTTGTTTCTCGGAAGTTAAGCAGACAAACACAGTCTTATGATTGGTTGTTTTCGATATTTCTCGGAAAGTAGAGCCATCTATCTGCGAATCATATTTGTCCACATTTAAGTTTGCTGTGATTGGTTGTTGAAACAGCCTTGTTCATATTTTCTCACGGCCCATATTAGTGACCTAGACATTAACGTAGATTAGTGCCAACCAATCGGCTAGCAGCCTGCTCTCACCACACTCGTCCCCCCGTCAAATAGCTTCGTGCGCAGACGTTCCGACCTTCTGGGTGCTACATCCTCTAGTTGAGGATTGTTACTGACCGGCTTGTCCCACTGTACCCATCTTTGGAGCTGACTGGCGTTAACTCGTTTCTGTTTATCACCTCTTCGGATGGTATATACTTGACCCCGTCTTTTTGTGATTGTGTATGGTCCTTCCCACTTTGGAAGGAGTTTCCGTGAACCTAGCCCGCCTCCAACTGTATATCTCCTGTCTCTACACTTCACTTGGTCCCCGACTGCAAAGGTAATGCACTGCGTCCTTTCTTTCATCTGAGACTTCGTGACATCACTGCGCTGCTTCCGTATTACATTCTTGACTGCCTCTTTCCTCTCTGCTTTTAATTTCGTCGTACTCCACTTTTGGTGCATGGGCCAGGTCTCATTGTGTACCGGTAATCGTGGTTTTCTACCATACATCAGTTGGAAGGGTGACTTCTTCGTTGTTTCCTGAGTGGTAGCCCGATGTGTTAGTAAAATCAGTGGAAGCTCCGTTTCCCAGTTCCCGCCCTTCGAGGCCAGCCACTCCTTCAGTGTACGGTTGTTTCTCTCCGTTAGGCCATTCGTTTGTGGATGGTATGGGGTCGTTCTGATCCTCTTGATGCCCAGCTGTTGCAAACGGGAAGTAAACTCTTCACTCTCGAAACAGGGACCTTGGTCTGTCAGTATTGTCTTCGGTACGCCGTGGTCTGCAACAATGTGTCTAACTACTGCATCTGTCACGGTTCTTGCACGTTGGTCTGGGATTGCTACGGCGTCTACCCATCGTGTCGCGTGTTCCGTCATCACCAAGAGGTACTGATTACCATTGGATGTCTGAGGAAATGGACCCATGACATCTACGGACCACAAGTCACCTATCGCGGTAACTGGAATCGACTGAAGTGGTGGTCGTATATACCGGTCACCTTTCATCAGCTGGCACCGTGGACATCCAAGTACGTATCTTGCTACGTCTTCTCTCATACCTGGCCAGTACATACTTTGTCTTAGGAGGTCGGTCGTTCTGGCCACGCCTGTATGCGCTAGCTGGTGACATTCTTCTATCATGTCGTGGCGCGACGATTGAGGTATGACAGCCAGCCAGCTTCCGTCGTTCTCTCGCCAGGTCAGAGTCCCGTAGGCATTCACTCTGAGTCGATCCCTCTGTCTGAGTAGTGTGGTTAGCTCCTTACTCGCCGTAGTTTGATCCACTTCTATTCCGTTGGTGATCACCTGTATTACTGTATTCAGCGTATCGTCCAACCTCTGCCTACGTGCAAGTCTTAGTGGGTCTTGTTCTACTGCATGCACTCCGTAAGCGACCTCGGGCAACTCAGACTCATCTTCTGGTCTCGATAACAAATCTGCCAAGACATTTTCACTTCCAGGAACGTGTGAGATCGTAAAATCGTACTCCTGAAGACGCAACATCCACCGTGACAACTTCCCCCGTGGGTCTCTCGCTGTCTTCAAAAATTGTAGCGGCTTATGATCAGTTTCGATGTGGAACCGCCGGCCGAGTAAATAAGGTCTCCATTTGTCGACTGCCCATACCATTGCTAAACATTCTTTCTCTATCGTTGAATACTTTCTCTCTGTGAGGGTCAAAACCCTACTGGCATACTCAACGATTCCCTCGTCCTGTCTTAGGACCGCACCTATAGCGTAGTCACTGGCATCTGTGCACACTGTGAACTGTCTTCCTGGCACAGGTAGTTTTAGCGTCATTTGTTGGTGGTCGAGCAGCTGTTTAATTCTGTCGAATGTCCTCTGCGATTCTTCCGACCAAACAAACTTTGGCTCACCTAGTAGCCTGTATAGAGGGGCTGCTATCTCATTGAAGTTCTTCACGAAGCGACTATAAAACGCTGCTCTACCCAAGAATTGTCTCAGTTTTCTCTTTGAATTCGGGGCTGGAATCGTTTTAATCGTCAAAATTTTCTCCGGCAGTGGTTTAATCTCACCATTTCCCACTTTATGTCCCAACAGAGTAACATTCTTTTTGGCTATCTGAGACTTGGTTTTGTTGACGCGTAGTCCAAACTCTTCGATGCGTCGCAGCACGGCTTCTACATGGTTGACGTGATCGTTTTCGTTTTGACTGTATATGACGAGATCATCACCATAAACCTCCACGTTTTTCAAGTTCCTAAGTAATAGCTTCATCAGTCGTCTGAACGTAAACGGTGCACCTGCTAGTCCAAACGGCATGCGTTTAAATCGATATTGTGTCTGACCCACGATGAAAGCCGTCTTATCTCTATCACCTTGTTTTATCGGTATCTGCCAGTATCCTGAGCGAAGATCGAGAACCGAAAACACATTCGCACCTTGTAGGCGATCTAAAGTTTCTACCACTGTTGGCATGGCACACGGTCTTAACTCTGTCATACTGTTTAACTGTCGAAAATCAACACAGAATCTATACTTCCCATTCGCTTTTTTTACTAACAGCACTGGAGAGTTGTACGGGCTATCAGCTTCCTCAATAATATCATCTTTTAACATCTCTTGCACTTGTCGCTCCACTTCGCCTTCCAGATGACATGGAACTCTTCGCGTTAAAAATGACCTTACTTTCGGATCACTTAACGGAATTTCATGATTCACCTTATCGCAATAACCGTATGGGTCGCCATCTCCAGTGAACAGATGATCGTATTTATTAATTAACTCTGTCACATTGTGTACCGTCGACAGCTTAATCGCTGCTATCTCGCTGGTCTCATACATGTTGATATGCCCGTATTTCGTGATCACCACGTTCGCTTGCGTGTCGATTATTGCACCAATCTCACGCAGAAAATCCGCTCCTAATATCGTTCGCTGTAGTTCGGGTACAACAATGAAAGGAAACGTCACCTCGCAGCCACCAACAACGACCGTACAGTTCGATCTACCCGTGATACGCAACACATACCCGCCTACTGTTTGTACTGTCAATGAACACGGACTAACACTCTTACATAAATTCTTATCTATTAACGACACGGCCGCCCCTGTATCTATCAAACATACTACTTCTCCAGTGTCCCGGCTTACCGCATTCAAAACACTGGTCTTTTCTATCAGCCAACTTTAACGCCGCCACTTCCCGCTGCAATGCTTCAATTTTCTGCTCATATTCGTTTGGTTTTGGTTGGTCTATAGCGGCTACCGTTGTGCTCAGCAGCTGTCTGGTCACCTTCGCCAGCTCACTAATATCCATCGGCTGCGTTGCGTTAACCAGTTGTAATCGCTGAGAAATGTGGTCTGGGACACTCTCGATGAATTGGGAAGACAGTAACTGCGCTTCTGATTCTTCATCTAAAGTGGGAAGCGCGCGTCGAAGAAGATTCGTCAGTTTCACCGCCAACACTAGCGGGTCTCCATCAGGTCCAAGCTTTATTGACCGGAACTGCTGCATTGCTAGCTGTCTGTCTGTTTCGCTGTCAAACTCGGACACTAGTCGTTCAACCAATTTCTTCCAAGACGCTGTGCCATTTGACCTGTCTACGCTGTCATATGCAGCCTTCGCTCGGCCTCTCAACAGCGTCCCCAGGACAACTGCCTTCGCCGCCTGCTCCTTGACACCCACCAGCTCAGCAACGGCCTCGAAGTCACGTAAGAAGCTCCGTATGTCTCCTTCTTCAAACGCAGCTGGCCACGGGATCTTCATCTTTTTGGAGGCAGCGACACCAAATGTAACAACAGAAGACAAGGGCTGGCAACAGATCGTTTTATTACGAAAATCAACACGTATTTATATATATATATATTTTATGTGCATTAATAAGGCTTATGCAAGCAGAAAAAAGCAGTCTTCTGACTGGTTGTTTCTCGGAAGTTAAGCAGACAAACACAGTCTTATGATTGGTTGTTTTCGATGTTTCTCGGAAAGTAGAGCCATCTATCTGCGAATCATATTTGTCCACATTTAAGTTTGCTGTGATTGGTTGTCGAAACAGCCTTGTTCATATTTTCTCACGGCCCATATTAGTGACCTAGACATTAACGTAGATTAGTGCCAACCAATCGGCTAGCAGCCTGCTCTCACCACACCGGGAGGTTTCGCGTGCGTTTCGGATTGTGAGGGCGATTGTTACTTCCCGGCTGCACACACCGTGGAAGTTGGTTGCGTGACCGCAGAGCCCAGGGGACAACTACTTGGGGCCGGTCTTACGCGGCCTGCTTTTGTTTGTTCTTTGTTCTTTTGTGTGCCTCAGTAGCATATTTATCACTGTCTTTGATCATAGGTGCCTGCGCTCTATCTCCCGTGTGAAGTGGTATAATAAGGTGAGCGATATTGAGGTTAGGCGTCAAGTTCTAGGTAAGGAGGGGAAATCAATCGACGAAGTCATGAAATTACAAAGGCTGAGATGGTTAGGACATGTGTTACGTATGCCTAGTCATCACCTTCCTCGACAATGGGCAATGTTAGCGGATATAGGGTCAGGCTGGAAAAGAGCTAGCGGCGGTCAAACAAAAACTTGGTACCAGTCAATGAAATCCACAACAGTTAGTCTAAGCCACGTAGGAAGGTGTAGACTTCCTGACCGTTTGGGGTCCTCGGGACGGTAAAAACCAATGGTTGGAAACAATTGGTGACATGGCTCCAAATCGTTCTCAGTGATGGTGCAGATGCATCCACTCCTTGTGACTTATGATTTCCAATGAAACTGTTTTGTTCTTCGTTATTACTATTCCTTTGTCTCACATCTCTGTTTACTGTCTCTATTATGCATTTCTTCTACTTTCTTCTCTTGCTTTGTGTGCTAAAAGGAGTGGAGTCTGGCGATTTGAACTTCCGCACATTGGTGCAAAGTTCTATGTCGAAAACAGACAGACAGACTGCATCGGTAATTTAGTAGTAGAATACTCACCGATCGCACTGTCTTAAAATTTATTTACCCTTAATGGACAATTTCCAGGAAGTGCATATAGATTGTGCAAGTATTCTGACAAATAGTAAACACACACACAAACACAAAGAAAGATAAATGGTTTAACACTTACCCTTTTATGGCGTAAATTCTCTAAATACTTCTTTGTTACAATTACTGGTTGAGAATGTACTCGTGTGAATGGATCCTCTTCTTTTGATTTCATTGCTTCTTCACTTTCTTGACGAATTGCTTCTTCAGCTTGTCGTACACTAAGAGCACGATTACGTTGATTAATGGATGTAATCGATTTAAAACCTGAAGTTCGACGTCTTTCAATACGTTCAGCCTGGGATTCAATTTCTTCTATTTCAATATCTAGATGCTTTAATAATTCTGTATCCCCGTCAGCTTCTGCTTGTTCTCTTTGTTTAATTAATTCAGCTTTACGAAGAGCAAAATTTGTTGGAGCTTTTTGAAACCGACGTTTTGACTGTATAATCTAGAAGAAGGAAATCAGAAGGTGCACAGTGAATAATTAATTTTCTCTGAATAAAGAATTGATAAGATTTAATAGTGTGAAATATTCCCATATCATGAATCAAAAGTCAATCTGAACAAAGAATGTTTTTTTCAATAATTTCTCTACTTCAGGTTCTTACAATTATAAAATATAATATTTATTGTCGTTACAGTAATGGCCAGTTACGCGGCGGACACATTTTTTTAACGTAGAATAACAGATTTTTTAGTGTAAGATGAAGGGTTAAGTAGTGATTAGATTTTGAGCAACTTCAATAATGCTCACCCCAGCGGTCCATTCCACCTACCTACGAAGAAGGATACAACGACTCTCTACACTTCCTCGACGTCCTAATAACGAGAAAAGAGGATGGTTCCGTCAAAAGAACCATAATTAGAAAGCTAGAGACCAAATCTCAGTATACACACTTCCTTCGCTTCGTACCGATGAAATACAAATGTAATCTGATCATGTGCTTAGCATTTAGAGCGAGGTCCATTTGTTCCGAAGACTGTGTAGAGAAAGAACTCCAAGACATGCTATGCGAGAACGGATATCCAGAGAAGTTCATTAAAGTCAACATATGTTACAATAGTTGTGAACATGAACTGGTAACGGTGGAGAAAAAGACCTAACAAAATCTACATTAGTTGACCCGAGTAAGATAAGAAATCTAGAGAATACTTCAGCTATACCACTCACTACATCCAATCACACACAACCATACAATAGGATGTGATCAGATGACAGTTTAAAAATCTAATGTCACAGGATGGAGGGAGAGATTGATAACGGAAGCTTTGTTTATCGAACTAACTGAAAAAACACATGTAACAGAAATAATTCAACACCTGTCCACCCAGATATCTGGAAAATTCCACTACTCCTATGATGACAAATAGCAGAGAACAAAGAAAACTATAAAACTCGAGTTTCGAAGTCGTGTGACGATAATTGATGAAATGATTATGAACAGTAATAAATTTTGTTCGAAACGTCATCCAGTGAATAATACTGTTTCAATGTGTGATATATCTAATAAACAAACTAATATGGGATTTTCCATATCCCGTAGATAGAGATGCATGTCTACCAGTTCGGTTGTAAGCGCTAGGCGTCCACATTCACTCTTTCGCTTTTGTGAGGGACACCCCTACGGCGTGAAGGTAGTGAATATGACTTGTCTGGCACAGGCTATGAACCCGTGGCTATAAGAAAGCATTTCAAGAAGGAGACAGAAGTCTACCCATCCTCAGGGTCATACCAAGTCATTTATAGAACAGACTGACATCAACGAAATAACTTACACTTTAAATATGCCGTGAATATGAAGAGTAATACCGAAACCGATCCAGAATATATGTAACATCAACAACTATATTGAGTAGATAAACTGCTACCAATAAGGAAATAAAAACCCAAACACTCATGTGACAAACCTGTTCAACAACTCGTTCATCTCGAATAGGTCGATTAATTGCTTCAGTAATCTCAGCAGCTTTGTCACGAACAAAATTTAACGTTGGAGGTTTCATATTTGCAAGCTGTAAACGTCTCATCCAACTATCGAACTCATCTTGTTGAAATTCAGAATTTGAAATAAATGCCAAACGAAATGTACTTTGATCTTTACCCACACGAACAACAATACCTTTGTTGGTCCTGTTAAAATAAGAATATTGTGCTCTGTGATAAAAGCTGTCTAGACGAATCAGTTTACTATATTGTTTCAATTATACTTTGTCACTAAACAATGAGATATCGTAGGTGTGTCTCATGCGTCGGTGGACACAGCGGTAGAATGTTCGCCGACTACGCATGTGGTCCAGGGTTCAGTCCCCGATCGACACACTCCTTTACCTCGCAAAGCCAGTAATAGGACTAACAAAGAGGAAAGGTTGGGCATGAGGCTCGCAACTCCATCCCGTAGAAATAAACACCATTGCCATCGAAGCTTCAAGCCCCTAGCTTGAAGCCCTATGTGACACTTGGAATGTAAAGGAATAGAGAAAAGGTGTGCCTCATCGATAGTCTTCCTTTGATTTCTAAAGGCGTTTAAATCATATATCATAGCGTCACCAATAAAAATATTTAATCTAATACAGGAATCCGTATATGATTAGAGAGTTAAATGAACTCCTAAATGTTAACCGTATCTATAATATCGAATGTTAAAGATAATCTAGAGAAATTTCAGATTTCATCAACAATTCTGTCACTAATTCCTAAGTAAATCTGTTGCAAAAATCCAGTTTATGTTGCTATTTTTTCTTAGTAATTTGGAAAGCAACAAGACGAGGATAGAAATTCGCATTTTTAACACAAAAGCATTAATTCTGTTGTATAATGTACGTTTAAATTACTTGTAAGTGTAGAACTTGGGCACTGTGGTAGAATATAACTCCATATTAGATAAGTTCATTTCTAATAATCACACCATGATGCAGTATTAACTGGATGACAAGAGTTCGAGCATAAATTATTACTCATTATCATATCAATTTAGTCACTATTTGTCTTACACATATTTTCTCTCTTTCTGTCTCTCCAACTCCCCTCTGTTGTTTGTTGCCACTTTCCATAAATCCAGTATGGGTGTCGTGTCATTCCGGTTGCACGTGTGCAGTGTTGAAGGGACGTCAGAGGCCTTATGAAGAATTCTTAATGACGCAGGAAATAGGATCCCATTTAAACCAAACAACTGTCTCTGATATAAACTTTGTCAGTTTAAGGATCCAATAGATTTAACCTAATAGATCTCAAAAGGAAACTTAAAAAAGTCTTCGCAACGACCGTGAACAGTGGTGGGCGACAAAATCGAAAGAGATGGAAAAGGCATCGGCGATCGCCAAAACCAGACAACTATTTAGGCTTATCAGGGAAATCGGTGGCAAAAGGCAAATGATAAGTGAAACAATCTCGGAGAAAAATGGCACCATAATTAACTCCCAGGATAGACGACTGGAACGCTGGAAAGAGCACTATGAGGAGCAGTTTAATTGGCCCACAGCCACCCTCAACCTACCGAACATCCAACACCTCCCTGAACGGGATATAGACACAGGTCCTCCTTCCTTAACTGAGGTTACTAAAGCTGTCACTAATCTGAAACAAGGCAAAGCAGTGGGACCTGATGGAATGACTCCAGAGGTATTTAAGTACGGTGGAGACAGTTTACTGCCTGCATTGACTAAGGTTCTAGGCAGCGTCTGGGAATCAGAGGAAGTCTCATCGGGTTGGTGTAAGTCACTGATTATCCCAATATACAAGAAGGCAGACAAGTCTTCCTGTGATAACCACAGAGGGATTAGCTTGACTAATATAGTATCTAAGTGGTGCTCGGAAGACACAAACAAGAGAGAGCCAGACAGGTTTTAGACCAGGAAGAGGGTGCATTGATCATATCTTTACCCTCCGACAGATTCTAGAACATAGGCATTTCTACCGGCGTCCAACAGTCATTATATTTCTTGACCTAAAGACGTCATTCGATTTTGTCGACCGAGAGGTTCTCTGGCGATGTTTGGCTGTAAAGGGAATTCCGAAAAAATACATTGCACTGATTAAGGCACTCTACTCGTACTCATGCAGCCAGGTGAGGGCTTACGGCCAGTTGTCATCTGAACTGGTGACGACTAGTGGTGTCCGTCAAGGATGCCCATTATCCCCTTTTCTATTCAACTTCATTATAGATGTACTAATGGACTTAACCCTAAGTGACTTCAGCGACTCAGGGATTGACTTGCTACCAGGGAATAATCTCGTTGACTTAGAATATGCAGACGACATAGTCCTTCCAGGCGAGGACGCTGACAAAATGCAGAGTCTCCTGAACACCTTCAGCTGCAATCTACGAATGTTTGGCATGCGATTCGCTCCCGCCAAATGCAAGATGGTGTTACAGGACTGGACTACACTGACTCCTAGTTTAGAAATAGGTAGTGAAGTGGTAGAGTACGTTGACCGCCCTTCTTATTTGGGAAGTACCACCAGCCAACGCCAGCGGGTTGATCTCTGACGAAACCTCAGAATGAATACAGAGGGCTAGTTTCGCATATGCCAGTTCACGCCGTCTCTGGCGTAGACGTGAAATCCAGTGATCAACCAAAGGGCAGACGTACTGCTCATCAGTCCGCTCCGCCCTCTTTTATGGCTGTGAGACCTGGCCCTTCAAAGTAGAAGACATGAAAAGACTAGCTGCCTTTGATCATAGGTGCCTGCGTTCTATTTCCCGTGTAAAGTGGCATAATAAGGTGAGCAACATGGAGGTTAGGCGTAGAGTTCTAGGTAAACAGGGGAAATCAATCGACGAAGTCGTGAAGCTACATCGACTGAGATGGTTAGGACATGTGTTACGTATGCCAAGTCATCGCCTCCCTCGACGAGCTATGTTAGCGGATATAGGGTCAGGCTGGAAAAAAGCTAGCGGCGGTCAAACAAAAACTTGGCATCAGTCAATGAAATCCACAACAGTTGGTCTTAGCCACGTAGGAAGGTGTAGACTTCCAGGCTGGGGTCCTCGGGACGGCAAAAATCTATGGTTGGAAACAATTGGTGACATGGCTCCAAATCGTTCTCAGTGATGGTGCAGATGCATCCACTCCCTGTGACTTATGATCTTCAATGAAATTGTTTTGTTCTTCGTTATTACTATTCCTTTGTCTCACACCTCTGCTCACTGTTTCTATTATGCTTTTCTTGTACTTTCTTCTCTTGCTTTGTGTGCTAAAAAGAGTGGAGTCTGGCGACTTGAACTGCCGCACATTGGTGCAAAGTTCTACGTCGAAAACAGACAGACAGACAGATCTAACTAGGAAAAATATGTAGCTTTCCAAACACAATGTAATGACTGTGAGGTCAATTACTTAGGTCAAACTAGTAGATCAGGGTCAACTAGATTATGGGAACATAAAAATTTAGCTGAAACTAGAATACTTGATTTTGCTAAGTTAAATAATCTGGAAAAAGTCCAACCATTGCACTGCATTCGTTTACATGTAATCAAAAAATAGGCTGTGAGGGACAGGGTGAGAGTATTAAAAAGGGATGGAGTTAGGTGGGGATACAGAGAGGTTTATCACTGAAGTTTCGTTTATCGATTCAGCACCTCACACATGCAAATTGTAATGACACGACACCCATACCAGATTTATGGAAAGCGATAACAAGCAACAAAGGGAAGTTGGAGAGACAAAAAGAGAGGAAATATATGTAAAACAAATTGTGAAAACGTGTGACTAAATTGATATAATTATGAGCAATAATTTATCCTTGGAACAATATCATCCAGTTAATACTGCATCACTGTGTGATTATTAAAATAAACTTATCTAACATGGAATTTAAATTATGTGGTTCCATTGGCTTGTTTATTCAACCTCTATTCATTGGATCATGGGTTCTAACACTGTTTCCAACTACTAAAGACTTCGGTCCCAACACAATTTTTGGAAAAAAAAACTTGAAAAACAACAGTGAAAAAAGGCAGTATTCAGTGAATTCGTAGATTTCGGTAGGACACGTCAGCTGAATACTTTTGAAACATTGTTATCTACACACTCCTTTTAAGGTTAAATACATACAAAAACATGCAGATTGTTACAACAAATAAGTAACAGTTTCAACAGATATATGATCACACGGTGACGTTGAATTAAAGCTTTATAATTATTAATAAACAAGGTGATATAAAAGCTTCAAAGTAAGAAAAATTCCCATTTCATGCAATTAAGAACACACTAGTCAGCCAAAGGAGATCTCTCTATTAGTAAGTTTACTTCAATGTTAAGTTCGTCTGGCTAATGAGCGTTGTTGAAGATTTGTAGGAGTTTGTTAAGGTCAGTATTTTTATCGGTGATGATAAAGATATCATCCATACACCGTTTGTAAACTTCGGATCGTTTGATTCTTGGTAGCAGGATATTTTACTCGGTGTGATAGGAAAGCAATGGAACAAGAGGGAGAGGGGTTACCACTGCGTCCAATCCTAGATATTTCCAGATCACCTTATCATCCCGTAGCAAAATGGTTAGCGGAAAGTTTAGAAACCGTAAGAAAGCTAATGACCAACCACTCCCTGAAGGATACATTTGAGTTTATGGATTCAGTAAGTCAAGTGGATGCAACTGGGTTAGCTGTGGTTTTGTTGAACGTAGTTTCCGTACTCAGCAGTATCCCCTTAAAGGAAACTTAGTACTACTTACGTGAGTTTATCGATCCAAATAATTTGAATGTTTGCATGTCAATTAAGCATACCAAGGAAATAATCTGGAGTTGCACACTCAATGTGTTCAGTATTTGTTCAATGGTTAAATATACCGACAAAAAGATGGAGTAGCACTGGGTTCTCTACCTAGTCCATGGCTCGCTAACTGCTTTATGAAGTACCTCGAGTCAAATATCCTCCAGCCAACAATGAAAGCGGTATGTGGTTGATATCTTTATCATTACCGATGAAAATACTGACCTAAACAAAATCTTGCAAATCTTTAACAACGCTCATCAGTCTATCGGATTTAAAACTGAGGGGGAATCAGACGGTAAATTATCTTTCCTAAATTTCCAGCTTACAAGACAATCATATGGAAGTCTACAAAGATCAATCTACCACAAGCCAAACTGTAGTGGACAGCTGACAAACTATCACAGTTTCGCCCCAATCAGCAGAAAAAGAAATCTCATATCCTGCCTCTCTTGCGACGAGAATCTACCCTTGAAGGCATTGGAAATTTTCAGAAAAACTCTAATCAACTCTAATCCAATCTCCTTTACCAATAAACATCTAAAAAGGAAGGTCAATACTCCTCGAAACCTGAATGTGCCGAAGGAGCAACTAATTGTAAATCTGAAATACAAGGGAGATACAGTTAGTGAGGTTTTCCGAAGCCGCCTGTCAAAAACTGCCTCACCTTCTCCACGCATGCTCTTATTCATCGAAACGTCAAAGACAAAATCCCGCTTTTGGCAGCTTCAATGTGCATTTGACAACTCATTTGCTTCTGTGGAGCTAAGTACATAGGTCGTACCAGCAGGACATTGTCTAGGCGTGCCCATGAACACTCGTCAGCATGGTTGTAAAAAGGAGAACATCAGATATTATTACTTTTGGCCATGAAGAGACTTCTCCTGGAGTCATAAATGAAGTCCGACTAAGTCGTTTGAAAGGATTTCGCCTACATCGTCTTCATGAAACTGAAACTTTCTTAGCAATCCTTATGTAGAAACCTGAACTTTATATTAAGAAACATTTGATTCGGTCTCTTTTACTACCATAACCTTAGTACTGATTTTTTTCTTCCTTCTTTATTTTTTTCTTGAATAACTGTAAAATAAGTTCTATGTAGTCGGTTTTTATACTGTTGCAACTTATTCTCAACCTTTTATTCTCTTATCAGCTGTACCCAGACGATTATTCATCAGTCAACTGATTAGTTATCAACTCTTTCTCTCTCTCTCTCTACTCATGAACTTTGATTTGCTTTGTTATTGACTGAGAATAACCTTTGACCTCTATTGTCAATCTACATTGTAAGGTATAAACACCTTAAATAACTGTACAGCTTTGAAGTGAATTAACGAAAAGAGGGGATCTCTTTGCTGACTAGTGTGTTCTTAATAAAGAAAAATGCTCTTGGTTTCCCTGAAGCCTGTGCAATCAGATTAAAGAGGTCGGATTAATGTATAACAACAAAAGGAGGCAGTAATTAGCTTAAATTTACCGTGGCAACATAATTTTATTTTACCACCTTTATGAGTCTTCTTCCTTCTTCTCTCCCTCCTGCTTACAATGTTTTTCCCACTATTATTATTTTATCTGGCATACAGTTAGTTTTCGTCGGCTGTGTGCAAATCGAGTATTAAAATTGGTGAGGGAGACTTCGAACTATCTATCTTATGATTTTAAATCACACATGTTAAAATCTTGCTATTTATTCCTATGTGGTTTACATACGTTAAATTTATTTGTTTTATGAAGATTCCTTGTATTTCAATAATATCAAATCTAGACGTTTATAACTGTATTAATTCTACCAGAATAACTCCAGTTTATTTGTTTTTATGTGCTTTGATCAATGTTATTCACTCAATAATGACTACGTCAACGGATTACCACTCATCACTTACAGACCATATATTTGTTGAAATTGATACCTATTTGTTGTAATAATGTTCATGTGTTTTTGTATATATTTAATCTTGAAGTAAAATTGTATAAATATAATGTTTGTAGAGGAGTATTCAGCTGACGAGTCCACCTACCGAAACTTATGAATTCATTAAATACTGCTCCTTACGCTTATTATAAATTTACTACGGGAAGGAAATATTCCTTTTTAAAAAAACACAAATAGAACAAGTTAGTCAACCATTTTATGTAGTTTAGTAGTGGCATACTTTGCATCGGTGGACTTTATATCAATTAAAACTAACAAAATTGCCAGTGAATAAGCTTCAGACCAACTACTGATGTCATGAATCATTGTTCTTCATTATGCTTTCCTTAAGATAGCATAAATTAACAATTGGGGAATTTATTGTAACATAACTGTAAACACGATTTTATGGTTCAAAAGACTTCTTGATGGTTCAGCAAATGCATTCACTTTTTGTAATCATCATCTCCAAGATCCATTAAGTCATCATGTTCTTTTATGTTACTATTCTTTCTCCGCACATTTCTACTCATTACAGTTCTTTTCAATTCCTTTTATTTCTCATTTCTTTTGTCTTTATGTGCTACATGGAGTGTAACAACCGGGACTGTTTCACTTCTATGCAAAGCCGCCTTATGTTAAAACTCAGTCAGATATGGTTATCTGTTGGAAGGTTTAAATAATTTACCCTTTTATAGTCACTTTTTATCTTTTTATTCGCTTCCAATTCATGGAAAAACTTTCCACTACCCTTTAAGTTCTTCTGCATGTTGTTTCACATTTTCTGTGGACACGTCAACAACAACAAATACTAATAGTTCATAATGAAACAGACCGTAAGTCCTTCCTTCTATACATTCAGCTTTCATGGGATAGTGGGGATATATAAGAATCTTAATTCTTGACGTCTTGACCTAACTCACATCATTTATTTACATATGAATGTAACACTGTAATACGAATATGTGTGTGCAGTTACTGAAGTTATCAATTATCAAAAACACAAACCTGAGCATCAAGAGGTGTGCCACACAATAACTTATAGTCCGTGCGGGGGTTGGGATATTTCCCAGACGTCTAGACCGAAGAGACCACCCCTTCCCGAGCCTTTGACTTGAAGTCTGATACATAAGGCAGTGGGGGCTGTTTGTCAGTGACGAAAACAGGTTCATGTGCCATTCGATCCTTCCGGATTCTGCAGTCCATGCACACAATAGGTTTAGAATTAGGGTTTCCTAGCTCCTTTAAGTAGACCTGAACGCGCCAGACGTTCGCAATCATCTTCCCGCTTTTGCGGAACACTTTTACCGCCTGGAAGCAGTGAATAAGACTTATCTAACAGAGGCTAAAAACGAGTGGCAATATGACTGCATTTCGAGTAGAAGACCGAAGTCTACCCACCCTCAACAGTACTAAGTCGTTTATGGTGGCTAATTACACGTTGGTTTCCGGGAGGACCGAAAATACATCTCAGCCTCTTGAGAGGCAAGAGTGGCAACCACTCGGGAGCCTCCTACGTCGGTGACAAAGTTACTGAAGTAGGTTGCAATCACTTGTGGTAAAATCATAACAGTACAACGCGTAAATACACACTTGTCAGTAAAAAGCTGTTACACAGATCAAGAATGTTAAATAAGCGGATAAGTTAGATGAAAATATGCGTACCGAGTAGAACCAAGATCATATATTTTTGGAGTCTCTACAACATCAACAATTTCAGCACAACGATAAACTGGTACTCCCTGATGTAATCCTATATTGATACGCACAAAACATCCTTTGACCAAGTTCTGAAAAGGAAAGAAAAGCATTACTTGTTTACAGACAAGCAAGTAGATTAACCAGAAAGTGGATTATTATTATTGTTAAGGATTAGAACAGAACAAAAGAATTCGATAACAACAAGTGCTTTATATTAAAATAAAACCATCTCGATGGCTTCGTGACACCTTTTAACTCATCGACAGCATACACGATACCAACGTATCGAACGAAAGTATGCTCTGTCTTAACATTGAATCACTATTTACCAACATTCCAGTTATGGAAAGTCTGTTGTATTTGCCAATATATAAATGCAAACCAGCTGAATATCAAATTACCAACAGTTTGCTTAAAGGAACCACTATTGGGATGCACTCTTAGTGTGGAATACATGTTCAAAACATCAGTTATAGGCAAAAAGACGGGATAGCAATGGGATCTTTCTAGGGTCCGTTGCGAGCGGACTGTTTCGTGGCAAGCCTGTATAATGGTCCACTTTAACTATTGATGATTCCCAGTTGCATGTTAGATATGTGAAGGACATTTTTAGTATCTGTGATGATGACAGTTATGAGCTTAGTCAATTGTTACAGATATTCAACAACTTCCATTCAGCAACAAGATGAATCTAAGATTCTTTTTCTTGATATTGAACCTACAAGAAGCCTCGAATATGACGTAAGCCGACTAATGACCCAAACCATTGGTAGATCAAAGAAATGAAAGGAATGGAAAAGTATCAGGAGTGGATAATATTAATCAGTTGTTTAGCTTTACTAAGAAGACATGACATAGGGAAAGAATGGTAGATGAGGAATATAATTTTTTAAAAACTGGAGGGACTAATTGAACGTTCAGCATAACTCTCCAGGAAGTTCAACAAATTAGCAACTGCACTACAATTGTCCACTATCGTATGCTATTCTTCATGAGGCATAGAAATCGCTCCCCCAATGTCAACCAAAGTAGCAAACGTGGTCACTAATTTAAAGGCAAAGTAGCCACACCTAATGCTTTTGCTCCAGAGGTGCTTGAGTATGGTAGTGATGAACAATTGACTCTAAGAGGCTAGTTAGCATATGAGAATCCGAAATAGTCCATTGAACTACGTTAGATCATCGATCATCTCAGTTACCGAGATAGAGAATAACCACAAGGTGAACAACCTGACCAGTGCAAAACCTGAAACTCTAGGGTCCACTGTTATGCGAGGAACAAATTGAAATGGAGGAAAGCAGGACAGAGAAAACAAGATAGGTATCGGATCAGGATAAGTGTGCACTGATCAAATCTTTGTCCTCCGGCAGACCCTGATACTTATCAGTATTCAATACTTGACGCATTTCTTGATCTGAAAGCCACATTTTATGTCGTTGGTCGAAGTGTTGTGGTGATTACTGGCTGTAGAAATTGTCGGCCGAGTATGTTATGGTACTGGAATTCATGCAGCTATGTAATAGCCAACGGACAGTTGTCTTCTGAAGTGATAACAAACAGCGACTGTCTGAACAAAACTGTGAGAGACAACCACTGCTAAGTACCCATTGGTATGTGTCTCCGTATGTAACGTAAAGATGCTTTCTCAATCGACTGATCCACTATATTAGAGCATTAAAATCACCCAACTACCTGAAACAATCAAGCACTTTATTTTTCTCACCGAAGTTGATAGCTTGTACAAAACCCACCCTTTAATAGGTTATAAAAGCAATCTACACACTTCACACAGTATGTGAAGGACATGACCAGGAGAAAACTAAAAATGTGTTTACTGAGGTATGACTTATTTTTATTCACTTAGAAAAACTCATTCAGTTCCTTTCGGAAACGCTACTGACATTACTAACACACTGCATGTAGTTTTAAGGAAAAGCCAAAAGCAACTACACTACATAGTTGCTTACCTGTCATACTGTATGGTTGACATGGCTATCAAAGCCAAACAGACATGAAAGCACGTCCAACTATTCAACATAATACTATAATCGACGTATCTCACAGACTTGAAGTTATACTAGTGAAGAAAATCATGTAACTCAGTACCCATATGCACTTAGTAATGAATCACAACATAAGTTGTGTGAACATTGACGAGTCAAAATGAACGCTAAAATCCCTGCATAGTCGGATTTAGGCTTGTAACACACCGGTTGAAATTCCAGTTCCTAGATCATTGAACCACAACTTTTTCTCATAGGTATCACATACAAACAATGTAGAAAGAGTAGATTTAAAAAGACTTACATCGAAAAATGGCATGTGAACCCATTTTTCCATTTTGAAACGAGACAGTCGAATACGGGAAAGATGTTCTAAAGAAGATACTAACTCTTCTTCAGGCGAACGACTTCTACCTCGGGCGTCATCTTCACTTGATGAACCCGATCTCTGCGAGCCTGAAAAACTTGAGAAGCTGGGTAAAAGAAATTAAAAAGAGTAATAAAATTCTTTAAATGAATTCAAATGTAACTAACTTATCTACATGGTAATTAAATTTCTGAAATAAAGACATTAACCATATTATTAATATTGTGCTGAAGCACTGCCTATACAATGAAGGGTTCATCAAGCTGGTTAAGTATTGATAAACCAAGGTTAAACTTTTTGTAAAGTTTAATTTATACCTTCAAGATAAACCCCATGCAACGAAAAATCGTTAAATCACTAAAGTGAGTCGCTAACAACATTTCTTTTATAGAAGTATGGGTGTCGTCATTCCAGTGAATCACACATTCAGTTTCTAAAGTGAGTGACGAAGTTCGGACATTCATAAGTACCGAAGAAACAGTGTATTCACTATGTGCATAGCCGCCGCACAATATAACCCACTGCACAGACTACTTTACACTAGGAACTCCTATTTATTATATTTCAGAAAAGTAGTAATCAATTGACACGGTTCAGAATGGCAAAATGGTACGCATCAAGCATATCAAAACACACAAATGTACAGTTTACGTTACAAAAGCAGACGATAAATGTAAAATTACGAATGGAACAATTACTATGTCACTGTCTTCAAACTACTTGTATACCAAGATTAACAAATGAACATATTTGGGAGCTAACATCGCTTTTATACAAACCTGAAACATTGATACGATGTCTCAGTCATCATCTACATTGATATGGTGAAGAAAATGTTAACACTAACAGAAATATCACAGCAACCTATCAAGTTACTGACTGCTAATCAAAAAACTTGGCGAACTATGGAGTTTGTAAGTTGACTTCTTGTATGGTAATAATACGAAAAGCTAGAGTGAAAATATCAGCTTAGTAACCACGACGCTTCCGTACATTTTGCGGTGACGATTAGTAAGGATAATTAACCATCAGACTTCGAGAAATATAGGGAATTAGAGACTGGCAAACTGACTCAGAATAAAATACTTAGACTAAACAGCCACAGTGACTTTGATAAACCTCAGGTAAGGTGATTAAAATCAGGTACATAATAAGAGTTTCTCATTAACATAGTAAAAACAATCCATGATAGACAAAATATGTTGAACATTTTGGCTGCTGCAGAATAAAAATTGAAAGTAAATGACCAAAAGAACGAAAAGCTAACCTTGGACGCCTAGTTACAGGACGGGAACCAGCTCGGCTTGAATCAGAAGAGTCTGATGCGCCTGAAGAAAATACACGCTGCGACATGGATTGGTGTTTCTTTCCAGCTCCCGTACGTGCTTGTGGGCTGTCACCGTCAGTGTCTGATGAACTCTCTGCACTGTTTTGGCCAGACCTATCTCTCTCCCCTGAATGGGTACGACGCTTTTTTGCAGCCATCCGCTTCCGATGTTCAATTAGTTCTTGGAATTTACCGCTGTGTTCAACCTAAAAAATGTTTTTCCAATTCCTTTTATCTGGTATTAAGTTAAACTCCTTGCCTTACATGAGGCAAAGAAATAGAAAAATCTATAACACTGGTAGCATGCAAATCACCAGACAAGTGAGAAATTGCATAGCAGTTAAGTAAGCTATGAACCCGTTTATCTGCGACTATAGACTGACTAGGAAGCCTGCTAATTTTAATTAACATTACATAAAATGTCTGTTAGTCAGACAAAAGATTTTACCAATTTCGATAGATGACTACTACTCGGTCAGTGTTGTTGTATGATTAGGTACTGTGTTACTTTATGTACATTATTATTACGTAATCTCAAGATATTAAATATTCCCATAGTACAATTTAGAACAACACATTTAAGCGAACAATACTGTTTTTAATTAGATCTCGTCAGGTTTAACTCTAATATGCCTACATAACTTTACAAATAAAAATTCAAATATAAGCCAATCATGGTGTTTTGTCTATAGGATAATAAGGTGGTGAATATAAATTGTGCAATTATAATAGTAGCAATGATAGTAATAACGGTTTTATCAATAATAGGGATAAAGTGAGGCGATCTGTGATAAAAAGAATAACGAAAAACAGCATGATTAAACAAACAAATGTTCAGGCAGAAGTAGTCGATAAAAGCTAAGAAAAACAAATGAACCGATTAAGTAATGCTAGATTGTAAGGGAAGTAAATTAACTATGTTTAAATGAAGATGTGATAAGATCAAGGGATGTAAAGACAGGGAGTGAAAATATAAGTAAGGGGTGCTGGTTGGGTCTTAACAGGCCAAGGGAGGGATGATGGGTGTACGAATTTCTTTTGAATGCGTAGTCTAGGCTTAACAGTTGGATATCTACCGCATCAGCTATGCGCAGTAGACAAATACGAAGTCTATTGGAAAGATTCGGTGGGATAAGATGAATTACTTTGAAAGCTTTCGTTTTCTCCACTACATGACCATTTTCAATTAAATGTGATAAAATTGAGCTACGGATTGTTTTCGCCAGTCCCTTGCCAAACCACGATGGGAGATGTTCACCAACACGTTGGCTAAGCTGTCTAGTAGTACGCCCAACATAACTGTCACGACAGGTGCAGTTGAATTGATAAATGCACATAGATGTGTCAAAACTATCTAGCTTATCCTTCGTTTGCGTCCCAACCATTCGTCGGCTAGAGAATGACAAACATAGGTATGCTGCGTAAAACGTTCTCCGTATGCTCCTGGATAGTGTCTGGAACAAAGGCTCACTAGATAAGTCACCATTAAATTGTAACTTAATAAACAGAGGCTTTTTACGTGCAGTCAAAGTTTCAGGTTTTCTCTCTGATGTTTTCATACGTTTCCTTATGAAACTACTCGGATGGCCCATCATCACCAAGGAATTGTGAATATATTCAAATTCCCTTTGTAAAAGGTCATCTGTACATATCTTTCTTGCTCTGCTCATAAGACATTTAACATTTCTTTTATATTTCATGGGTACGTAACTAGGGAAGTGTGTATTGCCCTGTGAGTGTGCTTTTTCTATACACGCTTCTCCCAAGTGACCTATCTCTCCTACTTAGCAAGACATCAAGAAAATGCAGTTTACTATCCTGCTCTTCTTCACAAGTAAAAGTAAGCGAAGGTTGTGTGTTGAACTTCATCAACGATTCGTTTATGTTTACATTCCCATCAGCTAAGATAAATGTCTGTCTGTCTGTTTTCGACATAGAACTTTGCACAAATGTGCGGAAGTTCAAGTCGCCACATTCCGTGTAGCACGCGAAGCAAGAGAAGAAAGTACAAGAAAAGCATAATAGAAACAGTGAGCAGAGGTGTGAGACAAAGGAGTAATAAAGAAATACAAAACAATTTCATTGAAGATCATAAGTCACAGGGAGTGGATGCATCTGCGCCACTGAGAACGATTTGGAGCCATGTCACCAATTGTTTCCAACCATAGATTTTTGCCGTCCCGAGGACCCCAGCCTGGAAGTCTACACCTTCCTACGTGGCTAAGACCAACTGTTGTGGATTTCATTGACTGATGCCAAGTTTTTGTTTGACCGCCGCTAGCTTTTTTCCAGCCTGACCCTATATCCGCTAACATAGCTCGTCGAGGGAGGCGATGACTTGGCATACGTAACACATGTCCTAACCATCTCAGTCGATGTAGCTTCACGACTTCGTCGATTGATTTCCCCTGTTTACCTAGAACTCTACGCCTAACCTCCATGTTGCTCACCTTATTATGCCACTTTACACGGGAAATAGAACGCAGGCACCTATGATCAAAGGCAGCTAGTCTTTTCATGTCTTCCACTCTCAGTGGCCAGGTCTCACAACCATAAAGGAGGACGGAGCGGACTGATGAGCAGTACACCCGCCCTTTGGTCGATAGTCGAACATCTCGTCTACGCCAGAGTCGGCGTAAACTAACAAATGCGAAACGAGCCCCTTGTATTCGTGCTGAGATTTCGTCAGAGATCAACCCGCTGGGGCTGGTGGTACTTCCCAAATAAGTGAAGCGGTCAACGTGCTCTACCACTTCACTTCCTATTTTTAAACTAGGCGTCGATGTAGTCCAGTCCTGTAACATCATCTTGCATTTGGCGGGAGCGAATCGCATGCCAAACATTCGTAGATTGCGGCTCAAGGTGTTTAGAAGACTCTGCATTTCGTCAGCGTCTTCGCCTAGAAGGACTATATCGTCTGCATATTCCAAGTCAACGAGATTATTCCCAGGTAGCAAGTCAATCCCTGAATCGCTGAAGTCACCTAGGGTTAAGTCCATTAACACATCTATGATGAAGTTGAATAGAAAAGGAGATAATGGACATCCTTGACGGACACCACTGGTCGTCATCAGTTCAGATGACAGCTCGCCGTAAGCCCTCACCTGGCTGTATGAGTACGAATAGAGTGCCTTAATCAGTGCAATATATTTTCTTGGAATTCCCTTTACAGCCAAGCATCTCCAGAGAACTTCTCGATCGACAGAGTCGAATGCTGCCTTTAGGTCAAGAAATATAATGACTGTTGGACGCCGGTAGGAATGCCTATGTTCTAGAATCTGTCGGAGGGTGAAGATGTGATCAATACACCCTCTTCCTGGTCTAAAGGATGTATCATTTATATGACAGTAATACATATCAAACTCCTTGATAATGTCCTTCAATTTCCCGCATTACGTAATCATATCTCGCTCTGCTGGATTACACTTACTTACTTACACACTCTTCATTTAATGGTTGAGGGAGAGGAAACCTACCAGTAAGTTGTCAAACACCCATCGTTGTAAACCGGTTTTTATGTGAATGTTTGCCGACTACTACATAACCTATCTTAGTGTGACAATAAGTACCATTTGGTTGGTTGAACTCCGATAGATGATTTAAGCTTCCGAACTCGTAATACAATGGTTAAACGTCTAACGCATGCCACAGTAGGGAACCCAAAAGCCGACTGAACAAATTTATTTTTAAATCAGCCAAAATGTGATTCAAAACACTGATATCTTACCTTCTTTTTTTCTAAAGCGATTTTGCGTTGTCTCAAGCCCTTTGGCCCAAAACCGCCACTTGAATCGCTATTGCCTGCATCGTCACTGTCTGAGAAAACATTATGGTAAGTAGATTTCTTTGATTTGTTCATATCTGCAGCAGCTTGCTTAGATAACGAAGCCGCTCTCTGAGCCCTTTCTTTTTCTTTTTTCTCCCTCAGCTTTTGTTTTACAGCTCTTCGTGCACGTATAGCATCCCGTCTTTCAGCCCGCTTAAATAGTTCCTCTTCTCTTTCTTTCTCACTCATTTTGGCCAGCCTCCGTTTGTCATCTTCACCACCAATCAAATTGTCATCTAAACCATCATCTTCATCCTCGTCAAGATCATCACTAGATATCTCCCCTTCCTCGATCCCAGTTACCAATGCGTGGTGCATATTTTCATTACACAGAATCGGGTTTTGTTTCTGGCGTGACTGCAACCACTAGTGTTTAAAAATCAAAGTTAAATACACCACACAATATTGAAATAATTACCTCTACGTCACCATCACTATCCGAGTCAGAGTCAGAAGAACGGCGACCTTTTGCCATTCACCCGAAGCCTGATACAGCTACCCTTATATGACGGGTAGATCCGTCCCGAATAGGAGTCTGGAACAACACAGCAACTCAGTAGATATGGAATAAAAATCTGAAAACGATAATTTAATAATGAGATCAAAATGGCTGCGCAAGAAGACATGAACTAAGTAAACAATATCAAGGGACTATCTTAATGAGAATTTATGATAATAATTGAAGTTCAAACAAAAATACCTTGACTGTTCTTAGTAATGTTTGCATAAAAGCTTAATTCTGACAGTAAAACAGTTACTTATGCTATTTCAATCTTATAAATGCACTACAACCAGGTTTTACAATCAGGTTCTTTGGAGAATCTAAATCTATCCCACTAGATCCAACCAGTGCGTAGATGTACGCTTTTGTACAAATATAACAACCAAGATCACGTACTCCCATAACTAAACTACAAAACGACACTGCTATTTTAAAGAATATGTTAAAGGACAAAACACAAGACTGTCACTTGCTTACAATGCATGGAAACCAGTAGTAATGTACATACAGCTGCAAATACTTTAATTTAGGATATCTAATAGTGAGAAACACTGTTCCTTATTTACACCCTAAACCAAATTATGCTAAAAAAGAAAAAATGCAACTACTGTGTTAACGAAGAGAGATTTAAAGAGACATATTGATTGAAAGAGTTTAATCCTGCTTTTAATGCACCAGTAACACAAAAAGTAGGTAGAAAACAGCGAGAAAAATCTTGAACCAATCTCATTTCCTGAAAGGACCAACTAGCAAGAATCCAGACTGCATTTTGACAACTTTGGACAGCATTCGAAATAAACTCATGATGCAGCGTTTGCATTCCAGAGCATAAAACGCCCTGTCTGTATTCTTCCGTATTATCAACTGGCACCCATCCACGCGGACAATGTAGTTAAAAATTCTCAATTAATTCATACCTTTTAAGTGCAGTTCCTTGAAACTGTAGTATTGGATCTGAAGACTTACACAATTAAATACGTACTCAAGCTGATCACGCTTGAAACCCTTGAGTGAATGCCACAGAACGATAGAACTTAAGATAGACGGGATAAAAAAGGTAACTACGGTAAACCAATAAAACTCAGCAGTTTATGAAAAACTAACCTACGTACCTTAACAATACCTGACAAGTATCCAGCTGGGCAAGTTAATCAAAGATAGAGGATAGCGGCACAAATGGCTTATGGAGAGGCTGAGCACTTGAAGGTCACTTACGCACACTGTGATTGGTAGATTTTCCTTCGCATAAACGTTGCGGCTAATACGTGCCTTACGTTACTGAGGCGGGCTTTGAAATAACAATAATAAAAGCGGATAAACATTATATTTTTTAGCTTAAGGGAACAAGTTAACATGCTTATAAATTTCACAGATGTGAGAAGCATTAGATCCAGTAACAAGGAGAATACTACTGGTTAACTTAATCCAAGAAATATAAAGTTTGGAGATTTTATGTCTTTCAGTTAATTGTAACGGATGGGTAAGAGTCACTTGTATAATATTTGCTTTTTATAGAAGAAAAAGTGTGACAGGTGATTTGGAAGTTACATGATTCCTGAAATCTATCGTGGAATATATGGACGACTAATCTGTAGAATTTCACCAACTCTGTGGTTGTTCTTTGCCTTGTTCACATATTCACTGTGGCTAAGATTAGGAATTGTTCACCAAAGGTAAGATTAATTTACCCGATATGTATACATCCTCAGATATTTCTCAATACGGCCGAAGGCAGTCGAAGGAATATAATCTCAATTTCTGCTTGAAAAGTTCACATCCAGTTTCTGCGAACGGAACTGGTGGTGACGAAAACTGCAAAGACTGGTCCAACACCACTAACAACGGAGGCAAACTGACACAGATGTTGCGGTTAGAGTGTTTGGTAGACTTTATAATGACTACGATGCAGCTATAAAAACTCTACAACTGTGATTTTTTCACTGGATTGCTATTAACTCTTTTTTGTGTATATATGTACTCTTTTATTATGAGTCATTTTTAATTTGATTGATTATTGTTTCCTTACAAATATATGCATTTATGTCGACTAACTTTGTCTCTTTTACTTATTTTGAGGACATTGCAGAGTTAACGAGAATGATAGGCAATGTTTTAATACTTATGTGAAATGCATCAGTCATAAACTGTTATTACTTCCTCAATACGTCATCAAGCCTTGCGTAAAGTGTTTCAGTTGCGTATAAGATTAATATTCAAGATTGTTAAGAAGGTAGCCGTCAAATATGTGTTCGTACTGTAATAACGAAACAAAGTCTAGCAAACGTAGGTTCTATATGCAGACGACATGTATTAGTAGTCCAGGCACTTCAAGTACACAATGCGACGTGTGTCCCACTTATCACAAATACTCTGTTATTATTATGTTGCGTTTAACACCACTATCTCGAAGGGTATCATTAGGTAATAAGGAGAAAACTACATTACTCTTCTTGTGTTATAATTTCGTATCAAAAGGCTCTTACATGATCACACCAACACTCAGACTCGTGCATTAATGCAACTAATTAGTTGACTACGTCACTAAACTTCGTTGATTATTTTGCTATCATGAAATATTGTGACGCACTAAATAGGCCTTTGTGGTGCATATCGCCTGTTTAAGATTTACTAGCGAAAGCAATTACTCAAAAGCGATAACAGTACCCCATCGTGACGAAATTCAGCGACGTGTGAATATGCCATTTTACGAATATTACGTCTTCTACACTGGCATCACTTTGCAACTCGACAAACACTAAGTATTAATGGAGCAAAATTTGTAAAACAATATTTATTTCGATAAATACATTATTAATATCACTAAAATTCCATCATTTACACAAATATTATCGTTTTTAATACCAATTAGAATGTCTAAATGTATTGAGTGATTGCGGGATTGAAGACCATAATCTGGAAATTAAAAATAAACATTCAGTCAAGATTAGATGAGTTAAATAAATAAACATATAATACAGTACGTACTAGTTAAATGATTATCTCTTCACCGTTATCTGACGAAATAACCAACTCAATTTCCTTTATTTCTGAGCACTTTGGTAAAAATCATGAAATTATAATTACCTCGATATTTAACCCTTTTCTCATCATGTACGTAAAATAAACTTCAAAATTTGTAATTATTTAGCATTTTCTATCATTATTGACATTTTCCAATGAATTGTTTTATTTCTTATGCATCTCGGGATGTCACCTTTAAACTGGTGAGCCCGACCGCGAACTTCACCCACGATAAATCCGCCCACCGTTAAACTGGTGAGCCCAACCGCGAACTTCACCCACGATAAATCCGCCCACCGTTAAACTGGTGAGCCCGACCGCGAACTTTATCCACGAAAAATCCGCAGATAACCCCGGTGAGTTCGTTCCATTTTGTATTTGTTCTTGTACCATATATTATTCGACATAATTTTCGTCATGAGTGATCTTAGTCCCAAGGTCATCCGTATCCGCTCAACTCCTAAAACCATTCAGCTCGTACCATACTGGCCAGATAATGCTGAAACGTGGTTTCTGCTAGCTGAAGCAGATTTTTGTGAGCATGGGATAACTGATCAACGTTCACAGTTACTTGCAGTTATTCACGCCCTACCGCGGGAATTCAGCAAGTACGTAACATCACAGATGTTGAGTCCCGAGGTAAGTAACTCGTACGAGTTGCTGAAAGCATCCCTCCTCAGGAGAAACGCTCTCACGGACAGACAACGTCTAGATGAATTATTTCGCAACATCGAGTTAGGAGATCAGTCAGCCGTGAGCATGCTGACAAGAATGAAACAAGTCGTCGGCCAAAGTCAGTTCGACGAAGGACTGTTTAGAGAACTCTTCTTAACCAAGTTGCCACAATCTGTACAGACCGTACTTGTGACACTTCAGGGTACTGTAATAGAGAACTTAGCTATTACTGCAGATAAGATCCTAGAAATAACTAAACGGTCTGTCCCCGAAATATGCTCAATGACTAAGCAGACTTCGAGTGAGGATCCTGCAATGACAGAGTTATGCAACTCCCTTCAGCAGATGTTTAGGTCAAACACGCATTCTAAATCCTCCAACCGTCGTCCTAAATCTCCTCAACGCAGGAACTCGCGTGGTCGATCTAAGTCCAAACCACGTTCACTGAAAAACCCTGACTGGTGCTGGTACCACAACACCTATGGCCAAGAAGCGAAGTGTTGCCGTAAGCCTTGTAACTTCGGAAATGTCTCAAAGTCTGCGGGAAACTATCCCGCCGGCACGCGTTAGCGGCAACCGTCGCCGGTGGCACTAGCCGCCTACTTTACATCCATGATGTGATAAGCCAGACTCGATACTTAGTCGACACAGGCGCCGAAGTCAGCGTCCTTCCTGCTACAGCAGCAGATCGACAGAAGGAACCTACCTTCAACTTACAGGCTGCAAATGGAAAACCAATCGCAACCTTTGGTAGGAAATACGTCTATCTGAACGTAGGTTTACGCAAACCTATTCGGTGGATTTTCCTTCTCGCTGACGTTACAATGCCCATCATTGGCACGGACCTACTTAATCATCATGATTTACTCGTAGACGTCCGCCGAAAACGACTGATTGACAATACTACTAGTCTGTCTATCAAAGGCATCACGTACATAGGCCCTAGCTTGTCACCCGTTAAGATAAAGGCAATCCTTGATCCAACTTTTCAACCTATTGTTGACAAGTATCCGGAACTTAATTGCCCGTCGAACGACCTACCGTGCATAACCAGCAATGTTATGCACCACATCATTACCACAGGACAACCTGTGACATCTAAAGCACGACGATTAGCTCCTGACAAACTGAGAATCGCCAGGAATGAATTTGACCATATGCTTAGCCTTGGCATCATTCGACCTTCGAATAGCCCATGGGCATCCCCACTTCATATGGTTCCGAAAAAGGATAGCAACGATTGGCGACCCACCGGTGATTACCGGCGAGTGAATGCCAAAACAACCCCTGATTGCTACCCGTTGCCTCATATACACGACTTGACGGCAACCTTATCCGGCGCGACTATATTCTCCAAAATCGACTTGGTTAAAGCGTATAACCAAATCCCGATGGCAACAGAAGACATCCCGAAAACGGCTATCATTACGCCTTTCGGACTTTTTGAATTTCTACGTATGCCATTCGGTCTTCGGAATGCAGCCCAAACATTCCAACGCTTCATTGACGAAGTATTTCGCGGTCTCGACTTTGTATACGCATACTTAGACGACTGCCTCATTGCCAGTCCAGACAAGGAAACTCACCTTAGGCACTTGGACTTGGCATTTGACAGGTTACGCCAACATGGTGTTACCATTAATATTCAAAAGTGTCAAATCGGTGTTGACTCACTCGACTTTCTGGGTCACACTATTGACTGCAAGGGCATTCGCCCACTGGCTACTAAGGTCGAGGCTATACTGAACTTTCCAGAGCCACAGACGGTGAAAAGTCTCCGCACTTTTAACGGCTTAGTAAGTTATTATCGACGCTTTATTCCCAACTGTGCCTCTTTGATTCAGCCATTGACAGACCTCCTTCGAGGGAATAACAAGTCCATAGAACTTGACGCGTCTGCTCGAAATGCTTTTACCCAGATTAAAAAAGCTATTGCGAATGCCACACTTCTGATGTATCAGGATCCAACGGCACCGTTAAGTATCTCGGTTGATGCATCAAACACTGCAATCGGCGCAGTTCTACAACAGCTAGTTGACAATGAGTGGCAACCACTTGCCTTTTTCTCCCGGCGCCTTCAATTAGCTGAAACGAAGTACAGCACATTCGGCAGAGAACTTCTGGCTATGTACTGTGCTATACGACATTTTAGACATTCGGTAGAGGGTCGTGAATTTATAATTTTTACGGATCACAAACCTCTGACGTACTCTCTGAACTCACCTTCAGATAAGTATTCACCCAGGGAATCACGACAACTGGATTACGTCTCACAGTTTACATCAGATATTCGCCATGTATCCGGAGTAAACAACACTGTGGCAGATGCCTTGTCGCGCGTTTGTTCTTTCACCCAAATCGACGGCATAGACCTTGTAAAACTGGCTCGTCTTCAAAAAGAAGATGCCGAACTTCAACATGAGTTGTCGAAAACAACTCTACAATTAGCTGAGAAACCCTTAGGTATGGGAAGAGATACTATTCTGTGCGACATTTCCACGAGTACTCCTCGCCCCATCGTGC